TTAGGTGTTCAGTCCCTACTAAAGCCCAGTAACAAGGCAAAAGCTGTTTCTCAAAAGGAGAGTAGTTATCTGCAGAGGATGGCAGGGCTTTACTACAAAATCACAAGGGCTTTCGTTGGGATTCACCAATAGGGACCTGCCAAAGACTCCAAACAGTATCTTTATCTACTACAGACATTTCAAGAACCATTGGATCAGCCATTTATCTATTCCAATTATGCATGCAGGCATTGGGGAAATCACTACAGGATGGATTCGGGGACACACTGGACCCACTGTGAGATGCACCTCACCTAAGACTTCATCAGTAACTTGACCTCCATATGCCCCCACTCTGACTGGTGGGCCACAATGACACTTTGGGTCTCCAGAATTAGTGTCAATTCAGAGCCAGTGTCCAGTAATCCCTGAAAAGTCTGATTGTTTCCTTTTCCCCAGTGAACAGTCACTCTCGTAAAAGGCCTCAGAACCCTTTGGGGAAGGCTAGGAGAATGACTGACATTATAGATTTTTGGCAATGTAGTGGGGTACTTCCTCAAAGGGACCTGGCCTCCCCTTCATTCAAGGGATTGTTGGTCTGTAAACTGACTCAAGTCTGGGAATTGATCGAGAGGCCGTGACTCTGTATTCTGGCAATTCATCTAGGTTGCTATTCACATGAACCTAGAATTCTTCTGTCTATACAGATCAAGTAAATAAATATTTAGTAGGCTTGCCATGTATTTCACTACTAGGAACACTATGAGCAAGTAGCCAGTGCCATAATTCCACATGAGTCAGACTATTCTGATTACTGTCCCGACTCTGGTGTCCATTATGGTAACCACACCCACCTTGCCTTTGTTGATTAACTGCTGCCAATTGGCCCCTACTACCATGCGGTCCAATCAGCCCCATTATAGTTAAGGGTTTGGTCTTAGTTCAATCGTGGCAGTTTCCACTGTCAAATCCGGTTTACGTAAAAAAGCAATCACAGCAGTTTTCAAGGATGCTCGAGCTCCCTTCACAAATTTATTCCTCACCTTACTGGTGAAAGGAGTGTCTTTTGGACTCTCCATTTCTGGCTCTAGGAGTCTAATCTAATAAATCCATTATCACAGTCCAATTTCCCTAAGCCTCTGGATACCTTCTTCTACATTATACCAAGGCAGGTCTGGTACTTCCACTTGACTTAAGGTAGGTCACCACATAATCCATGCTTCAGTAAGCCAACCAAATAAATTATTAGATCCTTTCCAAACCTTTTGAGCTGAAACACTGAATGAAGAATCCATACTTACTGGGCCTAAATCAGTAAACTCAGACTGATACAATCTTAAATTCCTTGCACCATTATCCCACACCCTCAGTAGCCATTCCCATACATATTCTCCAGGTTTATGTCTCTACATGTTAGCAAAATCAAGTAGGTCTTTCAGATATAGCATTACCACCTCCTCAGTCACACTTTGTATTTCACCTTTTGGGGCTCGCTTGTACTTAACTTTAGTTATAGGTCTAGCAGCAACAATGGGTGGTTGAGGCAGTTCCTGAGAACATTCAGGAATGTCTTCCATGGCCTCTGCCTTAGGCAATGACCCAGCAGGAACAGTTTGGCTAATCCCTTCAAACTGAGGTGCAGGGGATAATGTTTACAGTAATCCCTTCAGATGGGAGGGATTCAACAGAATTTACAGGCTCCACATCCTGATCTTCCTATCTGCCCATATGTCTCCATTCCAGGTTTCATCATCCCATTTTTTCCCACTCAACGCCCTCACTTTAACTTCAGACACCATTTTGGGTTGGCAATTTAATTGGCATTGTAATTCAGCCACCCTTACAATAAGACTCTGGGTTTGTTTCTCAGCAATATCAGCTCTGTTACTAGAAGAAATAACACATTCTTTCATAGTACAACTGGAAAGAGTGAGGACTTTTATGTGGCGCTTAAGCCGAGACTCAGCAGCTCTGAGCTCATCTCACTCTTTTACCACTTTCTCTATCTTAAGTAGGACCAACCAACCAGCTTCCTTGTACTCGTCATACTGACAAAATTGCAGAAAGGTATCAAATATGATCACCCAGAGCCTCAATTCTCACAAGTATTTGATCTGTTGGTGGTGCTATTTTGTATATTAACATTGCCAACTCACACCATGGATTAGCAGGGCCCTCTTTACTAACAGAGGCAGGGTCACTGGTGTTTTACAATTAATCAAACTGGAGAACCAATTTAGGAAGCCCATCCTTAAGATTTTGTCTTTCTAGAACCACTCCTGAAATCAAATGTGTTAGACTGGGTTCTCCACAGAAAGAAAACCACTAAAACTCATATATATGGAGAGAAATTTATTTTAGAAAAATGGCTCAAAAGCTAATAAAAGCTGGCAAGTCCAAATTTCTTTGATCAAACATCCAGCCGGAGGCTTTTGCACGTGAACCTAGAAGGTTTTTCCGACTCTTGCAGCTGTAGGGACCGAGGAGCTCAAGGCTGGCAGGTAGTATACTGGATGATGACTCCAGTAAATAACAAATCCAAGATCTCCAGGTCCAAGGGTAGATTGTTTGCACATGGACAGTTGTAGGCAACAGAACAGAAGCCCAATCCACAGCAGAATGTCTCTTTTCCCAGAATGTCCATAAATGTACCTGAAGCAGCCCACACCCTTTGGGGAAATTCCCTTTCAATGGATTGGCTGCTCAAAACATATTCATCTGATCCCATCAGGGGAATCACCATATCGCCAGTGCTGAAACCACACAGAATTGTGCTCCAGCCAAGTTGACACAAAGCTCCAACTATCACAATTACATTGACAGAGAGACAAGGAATGACTAAAGGCTCTTTCACAGTCCTTATATTCACATCGTCTCTGTCCACTACTACTTATATGTCAGTGAGGTGTGAGGTTTGCTTGAAGGTTTGCCCAGTTCTTACATATATATAGTGCTGTTCTTCATTGAGTGCTTGTATATTTACTGAGCTGAGAGCAGTGCCTCAAGATTTTCTTTCCCACATTACTTACACTCATAAGACCTCTCTACAGTGTGCAGTCTTCCATGTCTACTGAGGTTTGAAACTCATTTAAAGCTTTCCCACATTTCTTACATTCATAAAGCCTCTCTACAGTGTGAAATCTTTCATGTGCAGTGAGGGATGAGGAATCACTAAAGGCTTTCACACATTGCTGACATTCAAAGGTGTTCCTTCATTTGAATTCTTCCATGTCTAATGAGGGATAAGAAGCTACAAAAGGTGTTCCCACATTCCTTACATTCATAAGGTCTCTCTCTTCTCTGAGATCTTATATGGACAGTGAGATGTAAGCCATGACTAAAACCTTTCCCACATTCCTTATATTCATAAGTCCTCTCTCTACTCTGAGTGCTTCTATGTATTGTGAGGGATGAGGCAAGACTAAAGGTTTTCCCACATTCTTTATATTCATAAGGCCTCTCTCCATTCTGATTTCCTGTGTTTACTAAGGGATGATAAACAACTGATGACTTTCCCACATTCCTTATATATATAGCACTACTGTCCACTCTCAACCTTTTTTCTTTTTTTGTGATTTAGGTGAGAATTTATGGAGCAAATTAAATTTCCATACACAAGTTCACATCACTGTGAGTCTTTCTATGCCTTGTGAGAGATGAGGCACGAGTAAAGGCTTTCCCACAATCCTTACATTCATAAGGTCTCTCCCCAGTGTGAGTTCTTCTATGCTTAGTAAGGGATGAGAACCAAGTAAAGGCTTTCCCACATTGTTTACACTCATATGGCCTCTCTCCTCTGTGAGTTCTTACATGGATAGTGAGAAGCGAGGCACGAAAAAACCCTTTCCCACATTCCTTACATGCATAAGGTCTCTCCCCAGTATGACTTCGCAAATGTATAGTGAGAAGTGAGGCACGAATAAAACCTTTCCCACATTTGTTACATTCATAAGGCTTCTGTCCACTGTGAGTTCCTCTGTGTTCCCTAAGGGATGCAGAATAATGAAAGGCTTTCCCACATTCCTTACATACATAAGGCCTCTCTCCACTATGAATTCTTTTATGTACAGTAAGGGATGATGAACAAGTAAAGTCTTTCCCACATTCCTTACATACATGACATCTCTCTCCACTGTGAATTCTTCTATGTGAAAAAAGGGATGATGAACAACTGAAACCTTTCCCACATTCCTTACACACATATGGCCTCTCTCCACTGTGAATTCTTCTATGTGTAGTAAGGGAGGATGAACAACTAAAACCTTTCCCACATTCCTTACATATATATGGCCTCTCTCCACTGTGAATTCTTCTATGTACAGTAAGGGATGATGAACAACTAAAGGCTTTTCCACATTCCTTACATATATAGGGCCTCACTCCACTGTGAGTCCCCATATGTATAGTGAAGGATGAGGCATGGCTAAAGGCTTTTCCACATTCCTTACATTCATAAGGCCTTTCCTCACTGTGAGTTTGTATATGTTGAGTAAGCAATGACAAACAACTAAAGCTTGTCCCACATTGCTTACATTCATAGGGACTCTCTCCCGTGTGAGTTCTTACATGAAGAGTGAGAAATGAGGCACGACTAAAACGTCTCCCACATTCCTTACACTCATAAGGTCTCTCCCCACTGTGACTTTGCATATGTCTATTGAAACGTGAACCTAGACTGAAATCTTTGCCACATTCCTTACATTTATAAGGCCTTTCGCTATTGTGACTTTGCATATGTCTAGTGAGATGGGAGTTACGATTAAAACCTTTCCCACATTCCTTACATGTATAGGGTCTCACTGCATTGTGAATTCTTCTATGTACAGTAAGGTATGAGGAACAACGAAAGGCTTTCCCACATTCCTTACATTCCCAAGGTCTCTCCCCACTGTGAATTCTTTTATGTATAGTAAGGGATGACGAACGATGAAAGGCTTTCCCACATTCCTCACATGTATAGGGCCTTTCTCCACTGTGAGTTCTTTCATGTAAAATGAGATTTGAGGCACTCTTAAAGGCTTTCCCACATTCCTTACATATATATGGCCTCTCTGTACTGTGAGACCGCATATGTGTACTAAGGGACGAGGAATGGGTAAAGGCTTTCCCACATTCCTTACATTCATAAGACTTCTCCTCACTGTGAGTTCTTCTATGTTTACTAAGGGATGAGAAACGACTAAAGGCTTTCCCACATTGTTTACATATATAGGGCCTTTCTCCACTGTGAGTTCTTTCATGTAAAATGAGATTTGAGGCACATTTAAAGGCTTTCCCACATTCCTTACATTCATAAGACCTCTCCTCACTGTGAATTTTTCTGTGTTTAGTACGGGATGAGAAACAACTAAAGGCTTTTCCACATTGTTTACTTTCACGGGGCCTCTCTCCTCTGCGAGTTCTTACATGGACAGTGAGACATGAGGCATGACTAAAACCTTTCCCACCTTCCTTAAATTCATAAGGCCTCTCCCCACTGTCAGTTTGCCTATGTGTAGGGAAGGATGAGGCCTGACTAAAGACTTTCCCACATTCCTTGTATACAGAGGACCTCTCTCCAGTAGGAGCATTTGTATGTTCACTGAGGTAAGAATGACTAAAAGCTATCTCACGTTCCTTATGCTCATAAGGCCTCTGCCCACTATGAGTTCGCATATGTCTACTGAGGAATGAGGAAAAAGAAAAACCTCTTCCACATTCCTTACATACAAAACGATTATCCTTGTTACGAAATTTTTTACGTGCAATGAGTGATGAAGGGTGACTAGAGTCTTTACAGTATGATTTACATTCACGCTGATGACCTTTCACACATGTACAAAAGGATGACAAACTACAGGAATCTTTCCCACATTCATGACATTCACAGCGCTCCTCACCATTCAGTGTTGTCACAGGATCCTTAAGGGTTGATGTACAAATCAAGTCCTTCCTACATATCTTACATCTATGGGGCTTCTTTCCATGAAGAGTTCTCATAGGCATGGTTAGGTGGGAGGGACAACCTTCCTCACACTGACAGGAATTACATCCAGTCGGAGATCGGGCAGGATCCTCAGGGGATGAATGACGCATGAAGGCTTTTCTACATTCAGAGTATTCCAAAGGCTTCACTTCAGGAAGATTTCTTGATAACACAGGCAGATTTGGAATATGGCTGGAAGTTTTCCCACATGGATCACCTTCATGACTTTCACAGAGGTTCTCTACTGTATGACTTCTGTTAAAAATAGGCAATACGTTGTTGGAAACAAATTGGTTCTCATTTCACCATCACCAAACACAGTGAATGCACAGGTTTTCCCTCGACTTATCCAATGTTTCATTAAGTTAAATATTCTATTAGAAATACTACCACTAAGCCCACTGTTTTTCTAAAATAGGTTTTCGGATCGTGTCCAAGTCAAATATGTTTCAAATACCTGAAATCTGAATTATATTATGAAAATGTTGTATGGTAAAAATTATCTGGACCTGTAATTTCAGTCAGTTAATGTACACATATATGTGCGTATATACTAGTATGTCTTAATGTTTCAAACAGATTGATAATGGTTCTACATTTGCAGATATAAGCAAAGGCAGCTTACATACCACATAGCAACCAAATCATTACCCTTCAGATTTTGACACTAAGAGAAAACAAACAAGGAATTCTAGTGGTGCAGTACTTAACTCATTTGACTGCTAACTAGAAGGTTGGAGGTTAAACCCAATAGCCACTCTGTGGAAGCTTCCTTACTGGGCAATCTATTTCTGTAAAGATTTACCACCTCAGAAACCCAGTGGGTGTCACTGTGAATGAAACTTCACTAAATGAGAATACATTGGGCTTTTGTTTGGTAGTGTTCTTCTAGCCACGCAACCCGGCCCAGCTAAGTTGATATACAAACTTAACTATCATAGGTAGGAAACAAGCAGCTTGACCATGCTAAAAGATGGCAGACAACTATGTAGATTTCAATCTGTGTGACTCTCAACACTACTCCTAATAATCCAATCTCCCACACTTATATCAAAAGTTTCAGGAGACTGATCAGGTGTATCTGATTAATGGGAAGGTGATGGAGAGTGATAGACAGTCTAATGAGCACAGCCAGCTGCCATGTTTGAGCGGAACAGCTATGACTGTTTCCTAGTCAGGGCAAAATCAAATGGGCAACTGATGTGGTTGATATGCAATGTGTACACAACCCTTGTTTGGAGTAGTACTTACTACGACTCAGAGCTGACTTGATGGCACATAACAACAACAAATGTCATATTAATGCCACGACACCACAGGACTTTCTCCTGAGGCATTCTTCTCCCTTGTTTGAATGACTCTCACCTCAACTGTTTTCCTTGGTTGGGAGGTTGCTCTTTACTGCTATACAATTTTGAGAATTCTCCCAACATGAAGGACCAGGTGCTATTCTTCATTAATTGCAGCATGATATCTTCACTGGAAAACTTTTCTTTAGAGGCTGGTCAAATCATTCAAGTTGAAGATGACAACATGAAAAAAAAAAAGGAATTATTAAGGAAAGAACGGTTGCTGTAAACAAAGACAGACTGTGGTAGCTAAGGTTGTATGTCAACTTGGCTGGGCCTAGTGAGTGGCGAGGCACCTGGTGGTAGTTATTCCCCATGAGGAGACTGGAAATCAACTCCATGTGAGCAGCTGAGGAGATGCCTTAGGAATGTATTCTGCGTCCTGCACATAGGGAGAAGCGCTGGGGAATGGTCTTTACCTTATGGGAGGCTTGAACCCTGGCGTGTAGCCGAGTCATTGTTCAGCAGCCTACCATGCTCTGCCAATCTTGGGATAGTCAATGAACTTGAATTAATGGCCTGCTGTGGTGTGGTAACATCGGGACTGTGCCTTTTTACTTATCAACCCAGGCTTGTCAGCCTCAGCAACCAGCAGCTGAGTGAAGAAAAGCCTCTAACTTCAGTGGACCAGGAGCAGGAGGCAGAGCTGAAGCCCAAGGTTGAGGGGCTTTCACCCAACCCCCAGAGCCTGACACTTTGAACTCAGACTTAAAGTGTCCAAATTGTACTATTATAAACTCCTGTTTCTTCAAGGAATCCACTTCTGGTATCTTCTGTGTTCTGGTTACCCAGTGTCGCTCTGACAAGAATATATATCGCTAATGGGATGGCCTTAACAAACAGGACTTTATTCTTACAATTTGGAGACTTTAAGTCCAAGTTCAAAAGTGTCACGCTCTAAAGGCTGTGTGAATGCCCCTCGACCTTGGGCTTCACCATTGCCTCTGACTCCATATCCACTGAAACTAGAGGCATCTCTTCACTCAGGCAGCTACTGGCTGCTGAGGCCAACAAGCCCAAGGTTGACAAATAAAATGGCACAGTCCTGATATTACCAAAACACACAACAGGCCATTAGTTAAAGTCCATCAAAAGTCCCAAGGTTGGCAGAGCATGGCAGGCAGCTGAACAACGACATGACTGCATGCAGGGTTCAAGCACGCCATAAGCTGGAGACCAACCTGTGGGGAAAAACTACACTCAGCTGACCAGCCACTCAACCAGGCCCAGCCAAGTTGACACACAAACAAAACTACCACATTCTGTTACAGCGCCACTAAGGAACCAGAACACAGACTTAGCCGCTTTCAAATTTTCAACCCTTTGAAAGTGGATACAAAGCAAGTTAGCAGCAAATACTTCCCTTAGGAGTGAGAGGAATGTTTGCACAAGTACGTGTTATCAGGACACATAAGTGGAAAGTTACTGGGCACAGTACGCATGTAACATTACAACAGGAAAAGGGTCTCCAGGACATGAGGTGTGAGAGGACAGCTCACGTCAGAAAAGTAAGCTCAGGTATCTATTAATGAGTGTCCTCAACCCAAAGCCAACTTCTCTTCTTCTGGCTGACGGATTCAAACAGAATACCCTTCACACAGGGCTGGTCCTTCTCACATTTCTGGATTTCCTAGTGCTTGCTGACACAATGGCCCTGGGAGAGTCCTAACTCTACTGCTCCCAGAACTTTCTTCTCTTCCTTCATTTGGAAACAAATGGGTAGAGCAGACGGGGTGCTCATGGAGAAATGTGTCTCATGAGGGAAAACCATGAAGAGCCATGAGCATTTCCTAGTCATGAGACAATAATCTGCCCTTCAGGGTGTCTGTAGATACATAGAGTGAGTTTATTTACAGGAAAGTCATTAAGTCAAACATGAAATTAATATAGTAAAACTCACTACAAGGACCAAAATCACAAATCTCAGTACTGTAAAGTGACCCCCAAAGCCAAAGCTTGTCCTTAGAATACTTAAAGAGGCTCTGGACTTTTAATCACAAGGGAAATAAAAATTTCACTTGAATGCATAGAGCTTTTTGTTAATAAGGAGCTCTGGTGGCATGGAAGAGAGCTCTGGTGGATGAGTGCCTAAGTATTTGACTGCTAACTAGAAGGCTGGAGGTTCAAACCCACTCGTCAGTCCTCAGAAGGAAGATTGGGCAATCTGCTTCCATAGAGACAGCACCTCAGAAATCCAAGGGGTCACTATTACTTGGAATCAACTCGGTAACAGTGAGCTGGTGTTTTTTTTGTTTTTGTTTTTGTTTTATTAACTGGTAGCACAGTGGATAAGGCATTTAACGGCTAACCAGAAGGCTGGTGATTCAAACCCACTAGCAGCTCTGCAGGAAGAACAGGGGGCAATCTATTTCCTCAAAGAATTAGCACCTTGGAAGTCAAGTGGGGGCTGCTATGTATGAGAATCACAGAATCAACTTGACAGTCAGCTTTTTTTGTTTGTTATTTTATGTTCTTGGGGAAGCCAGAATATGTGAGCTCCATAGACCAAGGGACCTTACCTGTTTTATTAAAAAATGTGTTCCCATTCCTTAGCTCAAATACTGAAGGAAAGTCAATAACTAAAATATTTTTGTTCACTGAAAAATGAAAAAAAAAAAAAAAAATCATGCACTCTTACCCACAGAGGCCAGGTTTCTCAAAGTTTCA